AAGTACAAATGTATATAATATGATAAGATAAGATAAGGTTCAGGAAAGAAGAAAGTAAAGTGCGAATTATGTACTATGCGTGAGATTGTCCAGCATATTATCCGGTTTGCGTTTTTGGTTGAGGAGTCTCACTGTTTGTGGGTAGAAACTCCTCCTGAACCTTTCTGTTCTTGTTTTCAGGCTACAGAGGCGTTTCCCTGACCTCAGCAGCCTGAACAGTTTATGGGCGGGATGGCTGGAGTCCCTAGTGATCCTGATGGCCCGGGATCTGCACCTTTCAGCGTAGATGTCCTGCAGTGCTGGTAGAGGTGTTCCCATAGTGCGTTCAGCTGTGCGCACAACCCTCTGCAGGGCTTTCTGTTGCTGTACTGTGCAGTTCCCGTACCACACCATGATGTTGTTGCACAAAATGCTCTCAATGACACCAGTGTAGAATCTCCTCTGTATATTCTTGGAGATCTTAAACCTCTTTAGACGCCTCAGGTGATAGAGGCGCTGTCTGCCTTTACTAACAAGGAATTCCGTATGTGTGCTCCAAGTGAGGTCCTCGTTGATGTGAACACCGAGGTATTTGAAGTTGGAGACTCTCTCCACAGGGGTTCCATTGATCTGAATTGGGGTGTGAGTTTTCTCTCCTCTCTGTCTTCTAAAGTCGATCACCATCTCCTTTGTTTTGCTGATGTTCAAGGAGAGGTGATTTGCCTCACACCACTTTGCTAGTCCATCCACCTCACTTTGGTAGGCCCTCTCGTCATTCCTGGAGATGAGTCCCACCACCACTGTGTCGTCAGCAAACTTCACAATGGAATTAGTGGGGTGTCTGGCCATGCAGTCCGCGGTGTAGAGGGAGTAGAGAAGGGGGCTCAGTACACATCCCTGGGGGGCCCCTATGTTCAGTGAGAGTGTATGGGAGTACACATCCCCTATTCTCACTGACTGTGGCCTCGCGGTCAGGAAGCTATAAATCCACCTGCACAAAGATGTACTAAATCCCAGATCTTGGAGCTTACCCGAGAGGGTGTGGGGAACTATGGTGTTGAAAGCTGAGCTGTAATCTATGAACAGCATTCTCACATAATTTCCACATCCCTCATCTAGATGGCTCAGTGTGGTATGCAGGACCTGTGCTACAGCGTCTCCGGTAGATCTATTTGTCCGATATGCAAACTGCAGTGAGTCGAAGTCAGGAGGGAGGAAGGAACTGATGAAGGGTTTCATGAGCCTCTCAAAACACTTCATCACTACAGATGTTAGGGCTACTGGGCGATAATCATTTAGGCTGGCTGGGCGGGTGTTCTTCGGGATCGGAACAATCACTGATGTTTTAAAGCAGGTGGGGACTACCTGCTGGGCCAGAGAGGCATTGAAGATGCTGGTGAAAACTGTGGTCAGCTGATCTGCACATACTCTTAGCACACGTCCCGGTATGCTATCTGGTCCCACTGCCTTCCTGCAGTTTGTTGCCCTCAGAGTTTTCCTCACCTCATGCTCAGAGAGTATCAGTGGTGCTGGTTCAGCAGCGGGAGCGGGTGCAGAGCTCTGAATTGCCGCCACAGCAGGCACCTCGAAACGCGCAAAAAAAACATTGAGGTCATCAGCTAATTCCGGTTTCATATATCTTACAGTGCTGGGTTTAATTATTGCTCCGCCCTCTCGTCCAAATATGTACATAAGGTCAATTCACCACGGCATCGACCGAACACGCTCATGTCAACGCTTCAAAACTCTAAACTGAGCTGCTGCCTGACAGAAGCCCCACCCACATGCTCTCAATCCGGTTGTTCAGTGATGACGCGACGAATCCTACTTCCGGGTCTAAAGTAGTCTGCGTTTAATATGGCTTTTGTGTTGTTAACATGTTTAATGTTTTGTATTTTCTTCTATTTAATCTCAAAAAGCTCCTAAAACAGTCAGTGATCCCTGCTGACCTCCCTCGGCTTTTATTACCGCTAATCATTTATTTAAGCTTCGTTTTTAAAACCTTAGGATGCAACTACAGCCCACCCCATGCAGCAGTATATGAATGACTAACCTCGTATTGTGGATGGATTATCTCAGTTGTTCTCCTGGCTGAAGTTTGGTCCTTTTACAGCATCCTGCCATGCGATTACATTTGTTCCTGACCACCGAGAACACTCACGGTAACTTTTATCGAGTGGAAAAAAAGTTAGCTTGTTTATATTATGCTAACATAGCTGTGTCGCTAGCGGTCACGTAGCACATCATTATATACCAGCTAGCCCAACTTCAGTAACCCTACAAACGTCACTGCTGTTTAGTTTTCTGTCTTCATTTATGTTGGAAGTGATAACAGAGCTGTATGTTTGAATTTGTTTCCAAAACCCCGCAGTCAGGACATGCTATATTGTATTTAGATAGAAGCTAGCGAGCTAACTCCCTGCTAACTTCTAACTCCGTTAAATGTCATAAATTCCGTTTTCATGGATTCCTGGATGTTAAACTCAATTGTTACACCTGGTAGAGCAGAACGCTGATCATTTTATTAAAGATGAAAGACTTTAGACAGTTTTTCAACTCTCAGTAATGCCATAGTGATCGTTTGATATATGGACCTGCAGCGGAGTTTAGACCCAGACACGGCTAGTGACGGCAGACTTAACGACAGGATACGTGCAGTTTGGAGGAGCAGCCAAACTAAAGGGGGTGGAGCTAAAACAGCTCGTTTCAGACAGAGGAAGAAGTGAGGAGCTGCATCGGGGGTCAGTGTCACATAAAGAAGGATTATTTCCAGCTGTGAGTCATGCAAAGCTGCTCTGGACGAGAACTCACACACACACACACACACACACACAGACACACACACACAGACACACACACACACACACACACACACACACACACAGACACACACTCACACACAGACACAGACTCACACACACACACACACACACACACACACACACACACACACACAGACAGACTCACACACACCAGCAGCTCGTCCTCTCTGACGTGGTCACATACAGGAAGTGACGCTCCCGTGTTGGTGTAGTGTTCCTGTCGGAGTCATGTGACAGGAGTGGACGGTCTCGGCCGGGAGGCGGTCCCCGCCTGCGAGCGGAGGTTCGGTTCTGGAGCTGATCCGAGCGCGTGTGACAGTCAGTGTGGCGGCGAGCAGCAGATTAAGTGAACGTTCGTCTGTGAGTGTTTGTGTAGTTCTTTAAATATCAGTCGAGCAGAGCGGGAAATGAAACAGGAACGCAACGAGGCGGAGAGGGGAAGAAAAGTAAGTCAGACAAGATAATGTGTTCTCCCGAGGCTGCGATCAATACGCCTAATAGAACGGGTTCATTAGCGTTCAGGGCCTGCTCGCACCATCATACCGGGTCACTGTCGGCGAGGCGTTATCGATCGTGGTCCAGAGCGGCTCCTGAGGTGCTGGTTAGCATTGCAGACGCAGCAAAGCTTCCCCAGAGAAAAGCTACGAGTCGATGAGCGACAGAGTTCATCAGATTAAGGAGTCCAATCACGGCACGGCCCAGTAGCGAGACACGCCCAGGCGGTTCCCGAGGTACGCAGCGTTAGCCTTGATGTCGGTGGGTCTCTTCACTCGTCTTACTCCTGCTTTCATCTACCGCATCGCCCCGGCTCTCTGATCTCTGCACACCTTTACCTACATGTACGCCACAACCACGTCTCCACAGAGCGCCACGCCGATCCCTCACGCCGCCACCTCACCTGGGCCACAGTGAGCCCTACATACTGTTTACTTGAATTATCCAAATCTATGTGCTACATGTATATAGTGCCAGGTCCTCCTGCAGTCACCATCCATCCTTATTCCAACACCCTCACACGTATAAATGTGTGCGTGCACATGCTCCAAGCTTCATCAGACTACAGTGTGTTTGCACCAGGACCTGCACAGGTGTGAGAGGCTGTGCTGTAGCACTTTACTGCTGCGGTTCCCTCTGACGTCTGTGTTTAGACATGTAGACGGACCGTCGCTCTCAGAGTCGCGCAGGACGAGGGAAAGCGTTTTTAAACCTGCCGTTTCCTGAATGATCTGCAGGAGGAGCTGAAAGTGTCAGAGCTGGTTATGACGGAGCGGCGTGGGTCAGAGTGGCGGCTGTAGTCGTGACGGCTCGATGTGTTTGTTGTGTTTTCATTTCTGCGTCAAACACAGATTCGGCGAGACGTTTACCTGGATGTCAAGTTCATCACATCACATATGACCTTAAAAATCATCACAGATTAAAAGAAGCCGATTAAAGAAATCAAGCATGAGTGTCACAAACACACTGCTCAATGAAACACAACCAGTGGAACAAGAGCAGGAGGCTTACAGGTCTGACCACAGAACCAGACTCAGCAGCATTCCGGTGCCCCGTACGCCGTGGGAACGCTGTGGGAACGCCGGCTTTAACGTTCCAAAACAAGCATGACCTAACCTTCCAGAGATTGCCAGCTACGAAATAACCACCTACTGACCAATCAGATCTGTGGAAAATAACACAAACCCAGGAACGTTCGCTGTCTGTCCCGTGAATGACTCGGATACTCTGACGATCTGCTGCGTGAGGCTGATTCTCCAGCTTTACCTCGAAGCTCTCACCATCAGCCAGCGCTCTGCTTCAGTTCTTCCACCCAAAGCCGGAACGCAAAACGAGGAGTAACTCTCAGATCTGCTTCATTAGTCGTGCTTTCTGTTCTAAAATCAGACACGTGGTGGGATCAACCCCACGTGGGAGCTTTGTAAAACGAGTGGGCGAGTCTCCGAACCCTCCCGAGACATTTTCACAACAATTGTACACGGCGTTAGAAATAAAAATCAGCGGGTAGCTAAACCCAGCATCTGTGACCGTGCGGTGACGGATGAGGGTCCAGACCTGCTGTCGCACAGAAGAAGTGAAAATGGAGCCCCCAACAAACAAACGAGTAATGGAGACTCGCTGCTCTCCACCTGTCCCGGGTGGGCGTGGCTTCCTTTATTCTGTATCCACACACACCTGCAGTAAACAAACGGCGCCAGCGCTCACCTGTGCACTTCCTGCTGCTCTCGTCCTTCTTGGAGGAGCTCATCAGTTTGCAGTTGAAGTTCTCCTCCCAGTACTCGGCAAACCACACGTTCCTCCTGTTGTTCTCCAGAGTCCGCGAAGTGAAGTAGGCATCGAACCCTGAAAGACATCCGGCAGCAGGTCGGAAAACAAAACAGAGGTTGATTCATTAGGCGGCGACAGCCCGGAGCACTCGAGCACGAAGACTCAAAGCAAACAGGACGTGTTTCCTAATGTATGTGAGTGTTTATCTGCTCATCTGTGCTGCATTTTAATCAGGCCTTTATGTAATCCATCTAAAGTGCTGTCAGAGGGGAGTTCTTCAGGAAACACTTCATTCTGCTGCTGTCGAAGAAAACAACAGGAACAACTCGACAGCTCAGGATGGAGCTAATGTAGATAAAGAAAGTACCCGTCAAAGATTCTTTCCACAACTTCCTGCCAGTTTAAAGAGCTCACAACGTTGTGTAACGCTGCCCGAACACACGCCAAGACCGCAGCAACAACAAAACCCTCACATATGGTAATAACATTCCTGGCAGGAAAGGGAATTCCACCGGGATGAATAGAAACGGAGCTGCGGATCACCAGAAATAGCTCCAACCGTGTAACCTTTGCACAAATCACAAAGGCCCCGAGAGCCGAGGAGGGTGGTGCGTAGGTTTCTAATCGCATAAGCAAATTAAGAGATTATCACTGAAAAACAAGAAACGGGTCAAAAACAGAATTTTATTCATATACTGACAAAATAATCCGAATAACAACCATCTGACATCACAACAGGTGCTGTGACAGGAAGCTGGCAGCACGTTTATCATCCATGCGTGCGACCTGTTCGTGCATCTGCTGCTGGAATTCTTCCGATGAGAGCGCGCCACAACAACACACAACAACACAACGTGGGCAGGTGCGGAGTGCACTCCACGCTCCTGGAGGCTGAGAGGGCGTGGCACTGACCACGTGCACCGAAGGCGGCGACATGTCGCTAACCATCGCTAGCCGTGAGCCAAGCGGAGGAGAAACGGGATAACGCATACACAGGCACCTTCAAAGTAAAAGCTGTTCATCGATGCTTCAACAATACATTTCAAAAGGTGCAACACTTACTTTGAAGTAGAGATGGACCGATCCGATATTACGTATCGGTATCGGTCCGATACTGACCTAAATTACTGGATCGGATATCGGAGAAAAATAAAAAATGTAATCCGATCCATTAAATATCACGAAAGCACCTCACAAAACTTGCAACACGCCGTAACTCACCTCAGGTTAGCACGTTGGAGCAGTATGCATCACGTGATAGAGCGGCTGTGGCATGCGGGACCTGTCTGTGGTCTGGATAGCATGTGGAGCTTCGCTAGCAACCCGGCATTTCATCTCCGACAAAGTTATCCCCGAGAGAAGTAAAGCAAGTGTGTAAGTCCATCTCTGAATGTTTGTAAAGCATTGCTGCGTTAAGCTTAACGAGCGACTGCCTCTCCTGCTGCTACTTCAATCATGAAACTGCTTAAATGATCAGCTGATCGGCTTTTCTGTCGCGAGTCCGTCTTTGTTTTTGGCCCACTTTGCACCAGAAAGAGGAAACCAGCGGCTGAACAACAGCAGCACGTTTAAGCTTGATCAGCTGTTGTTAGAATTTATTTAATATTACTTTCTACTCGAGGATCTTTTTCTACGTAGCTGACGTAACTGTGCAGGGGCGGATCTAGCAAAGTTTAGCCAGGGGGGCCGATAGGGCATTAACAGGGAAAAGGGGGCACAAAGACATACTTTTCTTTAAAATGTCGAGCTTTTAATAAATAATTATCTGACACCGAAAGTTTTAATTTGATGTAAAATGAATAGAAGTCAATTACTGTATATAGTAACTATTAAGTCTAATATATATACCCTAGTAAGCTATAGTACTTTTTCCTTTGGGAAGGTACCATCTGTGCAGTCTGCAATTTTGTTGAAGAAAGATGTTGAATCTATTTAATATTTCTTGAAAAATAATTGATTTCTGTGCATTTTTTTTCACACTGCATCAAATTAAGGTTGATTACGTCGATTAAGCATCACGAGGTGGAGCGTGAGGGGTGGTTCCCTATTTTTTATTTATTTATTTTTGTTGTTGCTGGGAGTTGGAACCCTATTAGTTAGGTTGCTTAATATTTATGCTAAGTACTCTTTAAAATACCAGAATAGGGAGGATGGTGTAGGTCTAAGTTTATTAGATTGATCAGTATTGCTGAACTATGAAATATTTTTTTTTGCATACAGGTATAACAGAATAGCTTTAGTGTAGTTGTTGTTTTAAACTTGAGTATGAACTTATACAAAATGCAGCAAGATATTTAAAAAACAGTTTTGTTGATTAAAACACACTATATCGGATTCATATCGGTATCGGCAGATATCCAAATTTATGATATCGGTATCGGTATCGGACATAAAAAAGTGGTATCGTGCCATCTCTACTTTGAAGGCAAAGCTTTTTTTAGCACCCGTGTTTTTAGTTTCTCGACTGAGTGAACAGCTGCTGCGTGTTTGCAGACAAGCTGGCGTTTCCTGTGACGCATGCATGCTAACACTAAGATATGCAACGGGGTAAAACGTCTGCAGACCAGTGGAGTCAGATTTCATTCGTCTCTCTGCTGGTGGCTTTGTCTCCACCGCTCACAGCCCGACAATCACCGGAAACGGAGTCATAAGGAGTCGAGTCCTTTATCTAAAAAAGTGCACTTAATCATCTCCTGCTTCCCATAAGAGCCGCCTTCACTCCGTGCTCGCCGTCCGTCACCCATACCGCTCAGACGTCCTTGGCAGGTGACGCATTCATTGTAATAATTCCTGACAGCCTGGGATTAGGGTCGTGACCTCTGCAGGTCTGTGAGGCCATCCTGACACAATCAGAATCAGACTTACACATTAGTCATTACAAAGATGTATTTGAAATAATATTAAAATGAAAACATTAAACATAAATATATAAAACATAAGTATTTACAGAGGCTTACAGTGGAAGAGCCTCAGGGAGGAGGAGAAACATTGTTTCTGCTGCTGCCTCGTCAGAAAACTACTGACTGCTAGAATGAAGGGCTTTGGCTGGACCCGCCCCTTTGACCTAGGTCAGAGCATCACGTCACCAGGCTCCTGATTGGTTGTTGTGGTGTGACTTGGTGCTGGGAGTTCAGATTTTTCCAACTCGAGCGGTAGACGCGATAAGCGCAAATGCACAAAATGCAACACAAAAACTGCAGCGCGTATTTTACTTCGCGCTTCAAACGTGTCAGTCGCGCTACTTGGTCGCGCGGATCAGGCAGAAAAGCGTTTTCGCGACGCAGATCTGCTTCTGAGGTTTCGCTTCGTCGCGCTCCTCCATTGACATGTAAACCTGACGCTCTGGTCGCGTTCGGTGTGAATGCACCGTGACACTGTATCTGCGCCATACCGTCCCCATGCCTGCTCGTTTCTGCATGACTGCAGCAGTTCGTGGTTTCACACATCATGTGACTGTTTCGGCAGATAACGAAAGTAAACACACCTGAGCCAGGTGATCGGAGCTCGGCTCTCTGGGATCAGTTGTACGTTTTGGTTTCATATTTTTGGCCACTAGGGGTCGCCGAACACGAGCGTGCCTGCACAGAGCGTCCAGGAAAGCGAGTTTTTCTCCCGTGGGCCTGGATGTGGACGCGCTCTCTGCAGCTCTGCAGACGTCCAGCATCAGTCAGTGAAATCACTTGAAGTCCTGCGTCTGCACACTGTGACGGATGGAGGATTTTCTCCTCGCTGCGACTGAAGCTTTGAGCCTGGAAGCTCAAAGTAGGACAGCCGTGATGGCGACTCTCAGGGTATCTGACTGACAGGCACTTGGAGTCTCTGCGAGCTGCAGAGGGACAGCTGTGCCGTCTATTATTAGAAGTCTGCTTTTCCATTGTTGAAACGATGAATAATGAATGTAAACAGAAAGGATTCAGAAGTTTGTGCTTCAAATAAGAAACTGAGAAGCAAAACAGGAAATGAGGAGATGCTGGAGGCGGGATTTACTGGTGAGAGGAGAGATGTTAACAGAAGCTGCCTGAGAATTCGCCTGATTTTGCTTCAGTCCGTCAGTCTGACAGCAGCACCGCTGTGTCGGACACACGGGGAGACGCTTCAGAGATTTGTTGTTGTTGCTCTTGTTCAGATTTTCTGGGTCACAGACTTCACTGACAGCTCGATGTACGGCGTGTCCGGCCGCGTGACGCGTCATCCCACCGATTTACAGTCGCTGGCGTGACTGAGTCACGCTGCTTTTTCCTTTTTTATGGCTCGTTTTGTTTTTGACATCGAAACAAAGCAGCACTCAGACCCTCAAACACACGTCGCTGTAACAGAGACGCTGATGCGGCGCTTATGAAATCAAGGAAAAATCAGATAAATGCTCCCTCAAACGCATCATTAGACTCAGACTTTCTCCCTCGCCACGTCTGCCTCGTGTGCTCGGCAGGTCGGGCAGATGTTTTCTGGGAGTTTGTTTCTGGAAACCGGAAAGAGCGAGGAGTGCAGCGAGCGGCTAACACATGCACATTTATGCCATATTTTAACATCAGTTTGCTCAGCAGTTCTCCAGCACGGGCCTGAGAGCGGGTTAATGAGCAGCCTGTATGCATGCTGCAGGCGGTGGTCTCCACACACCAGGGGGCGCTGCTGCACACAGGGGTCCGGCTGAAGCTCATTTAAATGTATGAGAAACTGCAGGAGCTCATTTGTGCCGCGCACTCGGTAAACAGCTCCAGGTCAGCGTTTCTTTCCTGAGTTTTGGACTTTTTGGATAATTTTATCAAACGATGTGAAGCAGCCTGCAGCAGACACGCGGGCGTTTGTTACCCGACCTGGACGTCTTCTCCTGGTACGACCGAGTCACGTTCAGGCTAAAGGCACCTGTGCAGGTAAAGCAGCAGCAAAACTCTCGGATCTGAAAAACCAAGCTCCAAAACCTGCAGCTCACCTAAAAGGTGAGTCAGGTGAGACTTCCTGAGCCCTAGTGGACATTAGAGGAACTGCAGCTTTGGTGTTTCAGCGCTGCTTCGTGTTTAAACGAGACGCTCAACTACGCCGCTTATAACGGGATCACTGTTGCTGACAGTCCTGCG